GGGGGGGGGGGGGGGGTGGGGAGGAAAGACCAGGGAGAACATCAGAAGGCAAAGTGGTTAAGTCTGGGCTACTGAGTGGTCAGCGGGCGGGAGAGGTGTGCCCAGGACGATGCCAGGTTTCTGACTCGGGCGAAGGGTCAGGGCCGCAGGTGTGAGGTGAGCCACTCCCTCCCAGCCCAGCTGCTTCCTCACTCAGTTGTGTGCACATGGATGCAGGCTGCACCCACGGGCAAGGGCCTGGGTCCCGCTGTCCCCCCGCCCCCACCCTTCCCCGTCACTGTCCACCCAGCTGTCTGCAGGAAACACCGCCCGCCCAGCTCTGCATTCCCAAGACGCATGCCATGAGTGTGGGGAGCCCGGTCCTCTAGGACGTGCTGTGGGAACCAGCCGGCCCCTAGGGCAGGCGGGAGTCCTCAGGAATGGGGGCCTGGAGGGGTCCCCGAGTTGGGGGAGGTGGAGGGGGCCCTGCCGGCAGGGTTCGAAAAGGCAGAGGCTTTCTGGACAGAGTGTGAAGTCCATACAGAGCCCTCGCTACTGGGAGGGGCGCGGCAAAGGCCCTGGCAGGAGCGGGGACAGGGGTCTGGGGAGAAGCTCAAGAGCAAGACCACTCGGAACTCGAAAAAGTCCCTCTCGCCTGTGACAGCAAAACCTACGGAAAACAGGGCGCCGAGCAGGAGCCTGGCAGCCCGCTGGCCCGCTGACCGTATGGACCAGCAGAGAGAATGCAGGAACCCGCTGCTCCATCTGCAAAACCGAGCCTATGAGCTGAAAAAGCGAAGTATGGAATGGCACGTGGGACACGATCCCATTTGGCAATAAAACAGGAATACCCCAAAGCAGACACCTTCATGTCTAAAGGGCTTCCAACTGTGTGTTCCATTTCGATATGCTCATCGCATCGTCTTCAAGTTCTAATGGAACATGTTTCTAGCGGCATCGTTCCAGCACAAGGCAGGGCTGTTCCGGCAGAACTCCATCCTTCTCAGAACCATGAAGTCCCCAAAATTGGAAGTTAAATACAAAAACCATGTATAACATGGAAAGCGACCCTGAGAGGCCACAAGTGAAAAAACCTCATAGAAAGGCACGCGTGCTAACGTCTGCAGCTGCGTGGATCGCGTGGGTCGCGCTGGGCCAGGGACGCACAAAAACCCCACAGCCGGGGGCGCAGAGTGTCGGGATGGGCCGGGTGAGGGCCTTTTCTATCTTGAACCGCTTTCTAATGGCTGCGAACTCATCTTTTCCCTGATCCAAACCAGGTCTGAAAGACAAAGAAAAGCCAGGCCGGTCCCTGCTCCCGGCTTTGTGCAGGCGGCTCCCAGCCTTCCAGCAGCGGACCAACAGCGCCCTCCTGTGGCCGCGGCGGCGAACACCTTGTGGGGCGCGGCACAGCTGGGAAGGCGGGGCTGCAGCTGCAAAGGAACCGAGGGCACAGGATGGAGAAATACTCATGCAAAGCGTAAGTCACCTGCAAAGAACACAAGGTGCCAAAGGACAGGGTGGCTGCACCGTGCAAGCCAGCCAGCCAGCAGGCCACCTCGGTGTCCCGGGACAGGCCAGGGGACATCGACTTCAAGGTGCTACTGCCACACACAAGACCCTGGACAAGTCCCCACTCAACTCTGTCCTCAATTTCCCCCTCTGTGCAAAGGGGATGATGCTAGGACCCGGCCCAGCTCTGGGACCGCAGAGAGAGCGGAATCGAGGGGCAGTGCAGGGAGGTGGCATGGAGTCCCTACTCTGCTGCTTGTGGCTGAACCTGGACGCCCAGCTTCAGCTTCTTCAGACACAAAATGAGGCCACGCTGGTAGCGGCCTCCATCCCCCAAACCAGACCCACCGAGGACCTGACAGCAATTGGTGCATCTTAAAAAAATAAGAGAAGAAATAGGACAGGAAACACTTATTCCCGTCAATTCTGATCAGTTCCCAGCATTTCATCATCTCAGAAAACGTTAGCTGTTGTCATTCCTGAGGGGGTGTCAGCACTGACTGTTGTCACATTAGACGAAAAGCCGGCAGACGGTCTGAAGCCTCGGGGACCCCTTTTGGTGCTGAGCTCTCCTAGGATTCAGAAGCGAGGCCCCCGGAGTGCAGAGCTAGGGAAGGGGTTGGGGGACACGTGGTCCTGGACGGCGGACGCATGGCCCGACAATCTGCTACTGATGCAAAGAGGAAAGCCAGGCGGCCATGCCAACCCCAACGAGCATTTCCCTACATGTCCTTCTGCCAAAGGCTGGCACAAACTGCCAAGTCTATCTCAGCTTGAAACTGTGTGTGGCAACTCAGAGCAGCGGAGAGCGCGAGTTCAAGCAAAGCCCTAGTCCCATTTTACTGAAATAAAGCCCCAGAGGGCATGCGGGTCATGTAAGGCTGATAGGAATGTTATGACAAATTTCTCCAGTCACTCTCACTGCTGTTCTCAGCCAGTGTATGTGTGTGTGTGTGTGTGTGTGTGTGCACCTGCACATGCTTGTTTGTGTGTACATGTGTGTGCACATACGTATAAAGGGGACACACTCCACTGGCCAGGGACCCTGGCTCACTGTACCCCCCTGAATCACACACGGTTGGCACCTTATGGGTCACCAATTCCCTCCGCACATGTGATTCACGGGAGCCTTACACCCACCCTGTGGGGAGGCGGGGCCAAGGGAAACAGCCCTGCTACAGACGTGACAGCCCAGGGCGCTCCAATCACCTGCCCAAGTCACCGGCTGCCAGGGATGAGCTGGACAGAGAAGCCAGGCCTCTGGGCTGGCGGGTGGGGTCCGGCACCTGGGGCTTCAGAGCTGCTGGGGTTTGGGGGCAGCTCTGCCAGGCCTCCGTGCAGAGCCAAGGAGCAGCGGTGGGGGCCACCTGTGACCAGGGAGGGGCAGGTGACACCTGAGCCCAGCCCCAAAGACACTGGTGATGTGAGGGTGAGCAGCCAGCCAATTCCCCCAGCGCACCAGGCCATACAGGGTGGTGGCCCAGGGAGATGCAGGGAAGGAGGAGCTGTCCCCAGAGAGCCTGGAACCAGCCAGAAGGGAGCGCTCCCCAAACTGGGGAGACATACCGCATGATGCCCAGAGGGTCCAGTGCCTCCTCCTCTTCCGAGGACTTCCCTGCGTCCTCTTCCTGGCGGGGGGTGGGCGGCCGCTCCACACCTTCCTGCTGCTGGAAGAAGTCGAAAACCTCCCCATCGTCCCCGGCCTGGCCTCCTGTGTCCAGGACAGAGACACCTCTGCTGCTGGGGTCTGCCGCCCCCGGGGAGCTGGTGCCTGTGGGGGAGCAGAAAGAGGTGTCTGACCCCGACTGCAGGGGACCAGTGCCTCCCCACACCCTAGTGGCAGGACCCGAGGGCGGATGGGGGGCAGCCAGGGTTGGTGGCCCTGGCAAAGCCTGGAGTGGAGCGGGGACATGGGAGCCTCGGAAACCCGGCGCAGGCAGGGGCTCCTGGACCCCTGCGGCCCAGGCCTGTCCAGGCCTCGCTCTGGGCCAGGGGAGCCCGCAGGGACCTGGGACAGAACCTCGGTACCTAAGAATTCCAGCAGCTCTGGGCTGGCGGCCAGCTCCGCGTCCTGGGAGACGCAGCGCAGGATCTCGTGGAACACGGCTCTCCTTTCCCGGATGTCGGACTCCCCGACGAACAGGACCTTCCTGGGGAGCGGGGGCAGGCTGGCCGCTGGGTACCGACCGCTCAGCTTCTGGTAGAACTCCTCGATCTCGCTGTACTTCTTGGAGACCTGGAGTGAGAGAAGCAGGTGGGTCCCTGAATTCAGACAGGCAAGAGGGCTCCTCCCCTGACCCACCCGAGGCCCTAAGAGGGAGCGGGCTGTTCAGAGTCCACCCAGGGGCAGCTGTCCCGGGAAGTGCACCCTGGCTGTGCCTCCTTCCTGACGCCCCGCCCAGCTGCCTGTCTCAGGCTCCAGTCCTTATCCCTCCTGATCACTCCAGGCTCAGCCATGAAGGTCTTAGGGCCCCAGGAAAGGGCAGTCATGGCGGACCCGGGCCCTGACTGTCACAGGCCCAGGCAGAGACGGTGGATAGAGGGAGCCCAGCCTGCAGGTGCCCATGGCCACCGCTTCCCTTCTCGGCCGTCAATGCCTGCGTGAGATGACCTCAGGTCTGGCTGGCCGTCAGGTCATCTTCATGCGACAACAGGAGTCCCTTTTCTCATCACGGGTCTCTGATCACTCTCCTGGGAGTTAGCTGCAGCCTTCCAGTGGCCAAGAGCCAGATGCTGCAAAGTCAGTTTCTCTGCCATCAGCCAGGACCCATCTGCACCCCGGTACCTCGAGGAAGCAGCCAGGGCTCCTGCTGGCCATCGGAAGGCGTCCTGCCCGTCGGAGTCACCCTGGGGCAGCGCTCAGCTTCCCGCAGAGCCGGGGTCTGATGGCGGCCTCCTCTCAGCCTCTCCCCAGAATCCCTACCGCAGCTAGATCTCGCTCTGGCTGCCTGCTTCCTCCCAGCTTGTCTCCGCTCCAAGAGGCTCTGGTCTCACGAGGGGAGCTGCCATCATCGTGGTCTGTAGGACCCAACTCGGTGCTCATAGGAGAGTCACCGGATCTGCACCAGACCCCACCCCACCAGCGGCCCAGCGGCCTCCCCTCCCACCTCCCGTCCTCGACACCTCTGTGTTTTCCCCATCGCCGGGGCTGTGTCCCCACCTTCTCTGTGGGAGCATCGAGTAAGAAGACACAAAAATTCTCACTTCTACTCTCAGGCCAGGGCTGCGCCTGCAGCACCCGCTGAAATGCTGGCATAGCTGGTGGGCTGCAGGCCCCTGGTGCAGAGATCCCGTAACCCTGTGTGGGAGCCCACAGCCCTTTCCCGGACCCTCTCCCCAGGGTAGGCTAGGTGCCCCTCTTCTATACTCCCCCAGCCCCCGTGTGCTCCTGTCACCGTCTGCATCTGTCTCTTCACCAGCTCATGCAGTGCTGGCACGCTCTGGCCCTCTCAGGCCCTAAGTGACGGTTGGCTACAGAAGTGCCCGCTCCCCGATGCTACCCATGCCCTGGCAGCGGGTGTGTCTGCCCACCTGGACCCCGGACCCCCTCGGGAGCACCCTGGCAGAGCCCCCAGCTCACCAAGAACTGGACCACATCCTCGGGCCTGTGCTTGGCCGACTTGAAGGCAGCCAGCCGGGTGACCACCAGGATCTGGTACTCCACGTGGCCGGACATCATCTTGCCCCGCACCTCCTGGTGCTGCGGCACGGCCAGGTCCAGGCCCGTGTGGACATTCTGCACTCGCCTGCCGGAGGGGAAGAAGGCAGAGGAAGCTCAGCCTCAAGTCCGCAGGCTTCCTGAGTGAGACAGGCAGGGCCCGGCGTGACGCAGCAGGCCTGGGTGCCAGGCTGCTACCCTGGCCTGGCTCCGTGGTCACAGCGCCAGGCCCTCAGAAAGCCTGGCTTCCCAGGCCGGAGCCCCGGCCTTCGGGTTGTTCAGGGACAAAGGCTGGTCCCAGCAGGAAAACAGGTGAGAGCAGAGACAGTGGGCTGGTGGAAAATCAGGGACAGCTGAGCGTCCTGCACAGGCACAGAGCAGGCCTCAGCGGAGCTCTGCTGGAGGAAGGTGTGAGTGCTCCTGGTGACGGTGGGGGGAGGCAGGGCCTTCCTTGGCACATCCCCTGCAGGTGGCCCCTCGGGTTGGCTGGTGCCTGCCACCAAGAAGCCAGGCACCGAGGACCTGACCTTCACCTCCAGCCCCCGGGGCCTCGCAGGGGGCGCTGTGTGGACCCAGCATCAAAGCCACACCCCCAGGGGTCTGCCAGCGGCTGAGAAGGGGGCCCGCTGCTGGCCCTGCGCCTCCCTGCCAACCTCAAACCCTGTTCTCACAGAAAAGGAATCTGAGGCTCAGCGAGGAGGTGACTTATGTGGCACCAGGGAGAGCTCTTCTGCCAGTGAAGCCCTGACCTGCACCCTCGCTGTATTTTGCAGAGGAGACCAAGCAGGATCCTGTTTTCCAGACGTGGAGTCCCAGGGAAGTTCAGTTACAGCTGGGAAAATAACATTCATTTGTGCAATAAAATTGGCGTCTTTGCCCACGATTTCATTAAGGGGGAACAAGGGTGGAGTACGTGAAAATACGTGAAGTGAGTCACTTTACAGATGTTGAAAGGCAGGAAGGAGCAGCAGAGTAAAAGCGTGTCCTGACCCGCCTTTCCGGGTCCATCCTGCCCGGGGTTTGGGGAGGGGGTGAGGGTGGCCCAGGCTGCATCCTCCCCTCCGGGGCCCCTCCAAGGCCGCTGCTGTAACTTGCACTTCTCCGGAGCTTCCTCCTTCAGCAGCTGCCCCTTCTTCCCACCCTTCCCTGGGTAACGTCCCCCCTTCCTGTAGGGCGTGGCCTCCTTCACCCCCTCCCAGAAGCCTGGGTACACCCCTGCCCTGCGTTCCCACGGCAACCTGGACTTCCTCCCCCTCCCAGCACCTGTCCCTGCGGTTCTGCGTGCATCTCCCTGGGTCCCCCTGTCCCCAGTGCTGAGCAGCTGAGCACCCACGGGATGCAGGACTAGATTTTTGCGCCCAACAGAAATGAACGGGGAGGTGGGGGGGAGGGGAGCCCTGCTCCACGGCGTCTTGGGTGAGGCGTTACCCTCCGGGGCCTTCAGTTTCTCCATCTGTAAAACGGGGACACTAGGTGCCGCCCACTCTTCTGCAGGGCGGTGCAGGGGCCGAGCCCAGAGAAGTGGCCAGAGCGTTGGAGAGGCCGGATGGACGGCGGCGGG